TAATTGACTTAGCGCGAGAAACTCTCGCGCGTAGTCAAAGTACTACTCGCGCGATATACTCTCGCCCGTAACCATTTCGATGTTTTAAAGGGATTTGACCCGGTCGCATTGAACCAAACGCGCATACATACATACATGCGAAAAATTTGTTTACACTGGTATGACAATCGTTTATGTCCGCCACATCTAGTTGCGGAGAAGTTCTCTAGCATTTTCTTCAAAGTTTAAAATGATGGCGGGGAACGGTAGGGGAAAATATAAAGCGCGACAACCTGTAGTGCAGACTGTACAGCATGACTGATCTTCCGTCTCACTACTTCGCAGAGGCCTTTAGTTTTCGCTTAGTCGCTTACACGAAGCAGCTTAACGCTAACTACAGTTTAAAACCGGTTTGTGAGCACCGGAACAAGTGTTGGATGACCCCAACAAATTATAATTTTTTTAGCGCCCCATTAAACGCAACCTGTTCGCATTACAACGACTGCATCTGTAGAATAAGTTTCTGTAGTGATTCTTCCTAATATGCATTGCCGGAAACGGACTGGTTCGAGATAGTTTGTATGTTGTTGCACTTGTTGAGTATCACAATTCAGGTTTATGAAAGCCAATGGCAGACAAGTCACAGCATTAACTGAAGGAGGCAAACATAACTGCCTTACATTAATCCAATGACATATCGCTCGTCGAAGTCATTATTACGCGACAAAACAATTTCGCAAAACTATTTTCGGGGAGGACCTTGCTGACCACCTTGTTGGCCTTGCTGTTGCTGACCACCTTGTTGCTGACCACCTTGTTGAGGAGGTCCTTGCTGACCACCTTGTTGCTGTTGACCACCTTGTTGGCCTTGTTGTTGGCTTCCTTGTTGGGGAGGTCCTTGCTGACCACCTTGCTGACCACCTTGTTGGCCTTGTTGTTGGCTTCCTTGTTGAGGAGGTCCTTGCTGACCACCTTGCTGACCACCTTGTTGGCCTTGTTGTTGGCTTCCTTGTTGGGGAGGTCCTTGCTGGCCACCTTGCTGACCACCTTGTTGGCCTTGTTGTTGGCTTCCTTGTTGGGGAGGTCCTTGCTGACCACCTTGTTGGCCTTGTTGTTGGCTTCCTTGTTGGGGAGGTCCTTGCTGGCCAACTTGCTGACCACCTTGTTGGCCTTGTTGTTGGCTTCCTTGTTGGGGAGGTCCTTGCTGACTGCCTTGTTGTTGCTGACCGCCTTGTTGCTGACCACCTTGTTGGGGACCACCTTGTTGGCCTTGTTGTTGGCCTCCTTGTTGAGGAGGTCCTTGCTGTTGCTGAGTTGGGCGGGCGTGCATAACGGCGACAAGGCCTGTAACATAACAGAGTTAACAACACCACCCATGCATATGCCACAGAAGTCCCGCTTGGATGTTCAGATATTAGCCCCCTTTGATATCGCTGATGAGAGATGACGACTGCATCAGTATGTCGTAAAAATTAATGTTTCTAATAAACAGTGGCATAAACTGTGCAAATATGTGCGGCAAAACGTGCGCTTGCATTTCTGTAGTACAGACTGTGAAGTTGACTCACCGGCTAACGCAAGAAATACCAAAGCTGCCTTCATGGTTGTTTTTAAAATAAATCACACGATTTAATCAAACTTTACACCAGAAGGGCTTGTTTTGGACTTTTGGTTAAGGTAGAGAATAAGTGACTGTGGCTTTAACTGGACCGCGGTGCATTTATATAGGAAAGTTGCTGTTCATTGAGCGTCCTCCAACCGGATATCCATCGGCATTCGAGGTACCGTAAAACTTTCACGCGGTACCCTGGACTGCGTATGAAGTGGTGCAAATTTGTGCACCCAGAACCCATGGACATCCTGCTCGTGGACAAGTTTTGCTAAAGAAAGCAGAAATCGAGCTTGTGTCGTTAACTACAAGTCTACAACATCCTGTGCCCAGTGCTAGACCGGCGTTATGTTGAAGTGGCAGCACGTGCCACTTTACGCGTTCATTTCCAGTATGTCAACCATCAAGAAACACATGTCCACATGGTATCTAAATTTTACAGCATCGTAAGTTGATGCATTTTAATGATCCACAATTGCGTTTCGCAGTTATTTTTTGCAACTTCAAACTTGTACGCCGTGCTATTCAAAACAACTACAGTAACTTTTGATTTATGTAAGTGCTATAGCATTATAATCTCGCCATTATGTGTGATTATTATGTGTGATTATAACTCGTAATACACACAGTTCTCGTATATGTATCTGTCATATAGTCATTGTGCTGGATATTTCTATTCGCGCCAAATGTAGCTCTGCGTAAATTATGCGCGGCTTAAATCATGCGATTTACAGCTTTGCAGTAGCTGCGACGGTAACTCTGCCGGTTTCGGTCTCCATTTTGTTCGTAATTTGTTCCCGCAGGCATAAGAAACGGAAACGTATTACAGCATCCTCCTGTGAAATCTTGGCAGTGTCAGGTTTCCTCTGCCAAACTGCTTTTATCCGTTTTAATGGCGTCAAGCTATAGAATGTCCCCCACGTCAAGCTGTAGAAATGGATTTTCCGTTGAAATACTGTAACAGTGCCTCTGATCCTAAGCACTCTATTTTTGCGTATCTCTCCTCATTTTGTTTTTTATACAAGCTGTTTTTGAGCTTTGCATATCTCACCATATTTTAAGTCCAAACCAAACAATGTAATAAATTTAGACCTGCGATCCAGCCAGGTGTTTCTCGCTCCCGGTTGTCGTACTTTTATTTGATTCCATGACCCTGGAACCTTTTCCAACCATTGCCGTCGTTGCTCACTTAATGCGTGGTACAAGCAGTTTTCTTTTCACCTTACAATTAGTCGACTATACTGTTTACTACAAAAATTTCCCGGTTTTCTTTGATAATTATCGGAATTAAACCCTACGCAGGAGCAGTTGTACTGTATTTCGAAGATACTAGAGTAGTAAAATCAATAGCGTATACATATTAGGCTTCCTTGAGTGCAATTTTTGCAAATCGACGAGAATTGTTCTGTATCATAAATACGGGATAAATTGGTCGCATTAAGCAAAATATGAAAACATAAATCTCGGTATGTTCTGAGTTCAATGATTACCAACCACATTAAGACGGTACTGGTATACGTATTTGTAGAAAGCAATGCATAAACTATTAGTAAAATTACTGGCATTTCTCGTTCCCTCGAAACTATTCAAGCCTCATTAAAATATACCGATTCCCACGCTGGCCGACTGAGCCGTAGTGGCTTTAAGCACTACCCGTAAAAACACTTAAGTGGGCCACTATGATAAGTAAATGGGCAACATACACTTAAGTGGGCCACCTTCTGTTATTTCTTTCCTGATTCGTTTCTCTTCCAGTTTTTTTGTTTTGGCAGATTCACGAGATCTTGCTCTTTTTAGAGTACTTGAAAGTTTTAAAAAATATTGACCCGCTTTAGTTACTGTAAAAAATCAGTGACGAAAGAGGCAAGCCACGCCACCGAAGCCACTGGTGCCGTTTGAACGATCAGAGTTTGAACCTAATATCATCAATACACAGATCGATGTCTTGCATCTTGCAGCTTTCCTGAAGTTTGTTACTGGAAACACCTATGTCATAATGTCTGACGTAGATAACACAACGAACGCGACCGTACCGCAGTTCGACAGCAATTTCACCAACGTACGGTGGAATTTTGTTGCTGGTTTCAAGATTTTCACCAGCACAACTACCATCATTTTTAATGCGGCAATTTTATCGCAGCTGCTCGCAAACCGGAATCTGCGCACGCAGTTCAACATCTACCTAATCAATCTCCTGATCGCCAATCTTGGTTATTTACTCTTATCAGCATACTACGACACTATTATTTTTATGGATGAAACCAAATTGGTGGCCTGGAAGTGTCTTATGTGATATTTACCGCTATGCAGCCAACAATCCGTCAACCGGCGTCATCTGGTCGGAATTCATAATTACCAGCAATCGCATCTGGGCGGTGACCTTTCCGCATTCCTACTTCCAGTACCATACCAGTCGCTTAGCCATTATTACGTGTGTTACCATATTATGGATAGGCGTACATGCCGTGTGTCTGCCGATTTTAATAATTGATGCCTGGTGGTATCGTTTACCCGGCGAACTGTATGGATGTCAGTATAATGAACCGGCGTATTTCCTGTATATACAAATTCTGGAACCAGTGACCGTTCACGCGCCGGTCATTTTCATTATTATCTCTTACCCGTTTCGTTTGTGGAAAACTATGAAATGGAAACGCGAAAAAGTTGTTCGGTTTGAACTGGATGAGCGCTGGCGAACGCGCTCCACGAATCCGGCTAATAACGGTAGTAATCATGCGGTTGATAAAGCTTTTACCTCAAGCGATGAGCTACGCTCTCGATACAAAGAAAATCGCAGTGCATTCATCGTGCTAACATTGCTGACGGTTGGCGTTGTGTTTTGCTGGACACCGTCAACGCTATCGCTGTTAGCCGAAAGGTTTGGTGATTACAAATTCCCCGAAGAATGGATTCAATTCGGGAACTGGTTACAGGAAGCACAAGCCTTCTTCGATGCGCTAACCGTCGTAGTCGGTGTCAAAGATTTGAGGACGACAATTGTGGGTCTTTTTGGTGCATGCCGAGTAAGAGCAAGGTCAACATTCGTTCATCTGTACAGTAGTGGTCGAGCATTGCTGACGACCGCACAAAGGAGTGGTAACTGAATTTTCCCAATATGTAAACGTTTTTAATTACAAAACTTTACGTATAACATTACCGCTACCTTTGTTTATTGCTAAGATAATTTTGAATGGCTACTCCGTTCCTAGTGCGGCAGTTCTGCGCAAAAGACATGGTAGGCAATTTTAAATTTTGTTGTTTTTGCTGCCGCATTACGCAAGAGCAACCTCTATCTCTGTTATTGTTTCAACGGCTAGCTTGCAACTTTACATGATAAACTAACTACTTGTGATCGCCCTTCATCGGGTATTTACAGCTGTACATGTAATACCGTTCTGTCGTTTCAGGGTGAGATGGTTTTAATAATGGTGATGATTTTAGTAGGTAGTACACAACAGCTTGACAATTTTTACAAAACGTTGTAAGTTTTATCCACATTTTTTATGTCGACACAATACAACTCTACACAAGATCAATTTCACACCATGGACTTCCAGACGGCGTACATGACCAGAATCCCAGATAGTTACCGTTACTGTTCATTCCACCACAATTTCCGCCGTAAGCGTATCCATCGGCTACTGGCCATCCGCCAACAACTGTAACGTTCAACACCATCAGATGCGTTACGTGGCAATTATGGATAGAATAACAAAAACCTCTACGACCATAGACATTAATATTATTGGTGCAAGACTACTGTATTTCTTGCGAATCTCATAAATTTCTTATTATCTTTATTTGTTATTGCTTAAGGAAAAATGTTTAATAACAAAAACAACTGCTAAACAAATGAATCCGGAAAGTATGTTAAAGAATTATCGCGATATTTTGCATCCACTTGATGCTACTACTTCACTGTGCCATTTATTTATTATTTATTCAGCTAATTAACTACTTACATCCGCCGACATCCTGGTAGGCAGCTTGACGCGTATTCCAAGATAATTTTTGCATTACTAAAACATGACAACAAAATACCAGGTATGATTATTCAGTTGAAAAGATAATATTTCAGATGAACTACATTCGTACTCGTACTTAAGTTTAGCGCCTGATCGTCAGATTCCCGGCGCACAGAAGGCAACATAAAGTACTGCGAATCAGTAAGACGCACCATTCCAATCCATGGTCCATCGGTCCACGTTACAGACTTCGCTACGGTGACAAATACAACAAATGGTTCCAGGGTTCTTAGACAACAATAAATTTGTCTCGTTTTACCAGTGTCCTTGATGTACAAATATTCGTCCATGTCATTGATTTCCACCAGATGACACTTTGGACCGAAAGACTGGCAGAATGATGCGGCATCGTAATAAGTCAATCTGCAATTATTACTTTTTCGTGCAAGTTTTCTTTTATATCTATATTTATAATCTACGGTCGTAGGTACATATATAATGAAACTGATAAGCTCTGCGTACCCAGTAAATGTTTGCCCGGTGTAATAACAACTTGTGCGATTCCGATTCCAGCCGTTTGGACAGTCGGCGACGGCTAGGTTGGGTCCTATTCCGAATAACCAGATCATCACGAAACCGACACAGAGGCATTTAAAACGTGCAGGTTCCAAAGTTAGCATTATTAATGCAGAATGCTGAACAACCAAGATAATTTCAATTACGTTAAACAACCTGATCAAATTTCTTAAGCCGCGTTCACTGTTCACGCTCTGCAGAAAAGGATAATTTTATGGGTGGCTTTTCAGTTTGAGTTTGAAAGTACTTAAAGCAATTTGATGCTTCTTTATAGCAAAACTCTATCACTGCACACAGTGCACAGTAATCTTTACTTAGTAGGAGCATACATACACAGGCTTTGATGGACAGTTCTTTCATTTACTGCATGGAATGTACCGTTTCCCGCTTGTCCTCCATATTCTAATGGTTATACCGAAAGCAAAAGTGCAAGTAAATGATTTCATAGCAGCGTTACTTCTACTGTGCATCGGGAAATCAACAGTTACTAATGTTTTCTCTTTTGTTTTGCAATAAATAGCTTCGCTCTTGCGTGAAATCAATTAAGTCCTAGGTAGAGAAAGGAGAAATACTCGTACATGGTACTCTCCATAGTATTTTAAAGAAAGCTTAGAAGGGTGCAAGGTGTATTGAAATTATTACCGCATGTTATTCATTAATGAATGCTGTTTACCTTTTCCTGGTGTAATGGGAAAAACCTCACGTACTGTACACTGGTACATTAATGTCAACCACGTACTTTGTAGTGAGTCTGTACACGCCCAAGCTTTTTGAAATCTCGAAATTTGCATAACTTCAAAATAATGAGTGGATCTAGCGCACTTGTAAAAAAAACCAGTGTTAATTGTTTCTTTAAGGCTTACACCTAAATGAGAGGAAAGTGCTTTCAAAAAAGAAATGTCTTGGTCACGGTTACGCACCAGTTGTCAGATACCCTAATTTCGCGTTTCTGTGGAGCTAATACTTTACGCTATATCTATTGCTTAGAATTGCACACTTGCGAACCTGCATAATTTTATACTACAGATACCATCTGCAGCTGTTTTGGGCACTTGCCAGGAAAGATTGAACTAAGAATTTTGTTGTTTTGTGCAATCCTAAAACGGCAGTGTGTGCAGTAGTATTGTTGACTTACAGTGGATGAATGCAGTTGCACAGTTAAGGAAAAAATTATGCAATCTCCAAGCATTATAAATTTGAACGGGAAGGCAAACAGATGTCTATACTATACAGAATTGCAAATTACAAAAAATATGTTTTTTTGACACTAACAAGTAACAGTAATTTCGTTGCAATGTTATAAATGAGCTCTTCACCAACTTTATTCATTTCAAGTTTACAAGACAAATGAAAATCATCTGCCGTCATATAGATATATGGACTGATGTACTGTACCTATGCATACCAGGTAATTCTGGCAGATTAAAGCTTCATGATTACACACACGCAAAACATTCAAACGAACGGCAACAATGCAACGAGTAAACACTTGAAACACCAAAGTAAATCTGTATAAACCTATTTGTGTGCAAACGTTGGTTTGTCTCAGTATTCGTTTGTAATACTTTCTGTCTCGTACATGTAAAATCACACTCCGCATAGTATTTCAAGCCAGATCAATCTCACACCACGGACTACCCGATGGAGTGCAATCCCAGAAGCCGAGATAATTCCCGTAGCTGTTCATCCCGCCGCAGTTCCCGCGACGGGCATGTCCTCGCTGAGCCGGAAATCTTACAACTGCAATTACGCGCCATGTGATCTTGGTTATACAAATATAAATGTCTTTCGTATTATATATCTCAGTTTTTACGACCAGTATTTCTTTACATGTGCGTTATCCGCAAAATTCATTGCAAACCTTACATCGTGTATTCTGATAAGCCGCTTCGTGGTCGTTCCAGGTTAGCTTCTCGATTACTACGGAAAAAAATGAATACAGCTGTAATAAAGCAGACAGGCAAGAATTGATGAACGGGCATGCCTCCATAAAATTTTTTTAAATATGATTTATAAGGGCAGGTGCAATCTCTGAATCATACGTATATCAGTGCCTTCTTTCTCATACCAAGATTTAAAGTAGGATCCCTGGATTCTTTATGCAAGCTAGGTAGCGTGTACTGGTTGCGATCGGACAGCCGTAACATTCCAATCCATGGCCCATCCGTCCATTTTACAGTTTTGGCTGCAGCAAATACAATGTATTTTATAGTGTTAATATCAACGTATATAATTATTAGCCAATTTTTTGAGTGCTGCAGAAGAGCGCTAATGGGAAGCTTATGCGAATACGAGTATATCAGGCGATGTACCAGTATCTCTTACCAGTATGTTTTACGAACACATACTCGTCCATATCGTTAATTTCCACAAGATGAGATTTGGGGCCAAACGACTGGCAGAATGCAGCGGCATCGTAATATGTCAGCCTAAAACAGCGATTCTTTTATGTTTTTTTGAAACTTTCTAGAGTACGAGTACTTCTGCATATCAGCGAACGGTTTCTTCTGCTTCACCCCGTGAATATTTCGCCGGTATAGTAGCAACTTGTGCGATTCTGATTCCAGCCGGTTGGGCAGTTATCAGCTGTTGCCGGTTGACCAATATTCCCAGCTGATACCAGCATAAGAAAAGCAATAATGCGGTAACTCATTTTGTCAGTCATACAAAAACAGCATATGTTTTTGTATCAACAACAACAGTAAGCTTTAAATTAGTTCAGAAAAGCTTTTGCTGTGGAAAATAGTTCGACCAGTTAAAATTAAGAATATACAGACTATGTGCTGTGTGTTATCAATTTCCAAGTTTTACGTAGGCGCTGCACGGTTGAAACGGGCAAGCCTAATATAACATATGGCAGACGTAGTCTGTCTATATATTATATTAGTATAGGATCCAACGTGTAACTGAAAGGTTACTGAAAGGTCAGGATGATTCTGTCTGTTCTGAGCTTTTGCGTCTGTCTATCCTCTAACGGGGAAAAGATGGAAAGTAAAGGACACTAAAGGTTAGCCTCAATCCTGTCTGTTCAGTTGCCGATTCTCTGTCGGATTCCCGTTCGAATAGTGAAGGGATGCTGTACATGTATCGCAAAGCTAGACGGTCGGTATTCAAAAAGCAATCATACAATCGTTGGGCAGCAGCCTTGCATTCCTATTGTCCTACGACAGTATCAGTGGATGACTCACCTTACTCTCCATACTATCTGCGCTCAGAAAAAAATTATTGAACTGGAACACTTAATTGCTCGTTTCCCAGGACAAGAATGTTGTGTCCAAGATGAACAATGCATGTCAAAATAACGTATTGCTGCACATCAGAATAGTTCAGGCATTCCAAAATTCTAGAAAATCTACGTTAGAACTAGACAACTCGTACGCAGATGAACACATGGTTCCGATTTAACTGGCCTCAGTGAAACGCGTATTTTCACTATCAGTATCCAGTATCCACACCGAATTTCTTTTGCACGACTGCAGTGTTTTACAAAGGAATCCTAAATACATAGATCGGAAAACTGCACCCAAATCACCGGTGTAGCCATAATGAAAGGGAACACTGGAAGCGATGGTCCGCTGGTATGGGTGCAGTTTTTCAATCCGTGAAGGTTTCCTTTGCAAACACTGCAGTCGTGCAAAAGAAATTCGGTGAGACGGTAAAATTTAACTTTTTTTCAAATTTTTCACTGCATATTTGTATTGTGTATTAATGATATAACCACCGCCTACGTATTCAATTCCTCTACGGGGGAATTGTCACGAATGTGTTTTACGATACTGTTCATGTTCGCGAATACTGGAGACACTGTAACTACTAATTTAAACCGTTATCATGAAAGTTTCCGTTATGTTAATGGAATTTGCCGTTTTATGTACTGATCTATAAACACATACCTTTTCATTGCTGCTAAGAAGAGACAGTGCAAGAAATACATGTTGTCATTTCTACACATTTTTTTGCCTTTGTTCCTGGCACACAAAGTCAGTTATTGATGCATCTATTAGGTGCTATAAACAAACTCACTCTCGCGTGAAGCACACATTTACAGTTGCAGCATTATACCTAGCTTACACATGTTATGTACGCAAGTTTTAAAAGAAATAACGCCCGCTTGCATGCATGTACTAACGCTACAAGCGCAGTTAATTATGAAATTTAGGTTTCCATTAATTACAGAAATAATCGAATTATTGCATTTCCGAACTACTTTGTAATAAACCTGGTGTGCGTCGGATGGTAAACAGAAAATTTAGAGGAGATTAAAAATTTAAATAATTGTACTGACTGAAAACTATAAGGTCAAAGGCAAAAATATGTTTATTCACCGGAGAGTACTCACAGTTATTAAACATTATGCAAACATACGTAGAAACTGCAGATCTACCCTCTTACAGGATTTTACGCGGCGGAAGCACATCCGGTGTGCGTAAAATTGTTAATGACTGGATACGAACAGAGAAGTGTTTATTTGCACAACATGCGTTATAACGAAACATCTACGTTTTTTCGCCGCATTTCATAAGAGAAGTACTGGTACTTTACTTGTCAAAGATTACTCTACGTGTTAAATGCCGGTGTGCCTAATCCCATCGTGGATATCCAGATAGCACCTGTTTTAAGTAAATAATCCTCACACTCAGAAAACTACCGTTATTCCCTATAGACACTCTGCCTCACTTCACAAATACTTTGCAAGAGCGGTGTATCCACACCAACTCGCAACGGGACACAACTCTGACAATCATTTTATAAAAAAAAAACTGCATCCAAATGCAGTTTCTCCGCGACTGATGTTTTTATACCGTACGATGCCCATCTTATATTTCTTGTATTGACCAATATGAACATTAGCTTGGAGCTCAACGCCACTATCCCGACGACCATTTCCCAACGTTACCCAGACGAGATATGGCTGGATCCGCTGATGTTCACCGTGGCACTCTTGGCGTTTTTCTTCAACATTATCGTAGCCTGCTTGTTTGCCATGTACCGACGATTACGTACACCATTCAACGTGTATTTTATCGCTCTGTCGTCCTCTAACGCCGTCTTCTGCTTTCCGTTCTTTGCGGATTTTGTTTGCCTTCGACTGACCAATTTCTGTCGGAACAAAGTTCTCTGCACGATGCATCTGTACACCGGTTGGGTCATTTCCGGCGTGGCCATCCACATGCACGTTATGATCAACGCTAACCGGGTGTGGGCAGTGTACTTTCCACTCTCCTACCGACAGCAACACAACCTCAGGGCTGCCGTTTGTATCATTATAGGTAGGTTAAAATTCGAACATTTTTGAGCCGCTCTTGCGTTGATGTAAAATTAATTAAGCGAAATTCGAAACAAAATATTTTCTGTATTTGCACCACTTTTCCGAAATCTGTTCGCTTTAGATGACTCATGATTATCATGATAAATGAGTTCACACTCAAATTAATAATTTTTGTTTGTCAACTGTCTTTCTTCGCATCTCTATCGAATCCTGTTATTTCTTCGCTTAAAATCGACCTCTTAAGAAATTATTATATTATTAAAAATTATTTTTCCTATTTCCAGCACACGAAGACCTCTTCGGTTTTGAAATAAATCTACATGTGGATTTTTAAACCTCGAAAAATTGATTTTAACTCTATTTTTAGGAGCGGCTGCATACGTGCACATCATCGGTCTCCCGGGAGTGATCTTTAACGCGGTTACATATCTTCCGGCTGCGGATGTCTGCCGCATCGATCGCGCCACTCTGGATGTCTGGGTGAAGATTATCATGCTTGCCATCTACGATTTGCCAGTGATACTAATGGTTGTTGGTTATATCGCGATCTGCACCAAAGAGCTGAACCGGTTAAGGTCAACCGGCCCAACAGGAGTAAAACGATCCGCTCGGTATAACAGCGGATTTGCCGTCCTGACTACGCTGACCATTGCCGTGGTGTTCTGTTGGACGCCCTATAATTTTCTGGATGCAGTGGAAACATTCTCCAACGTGGTAATACCGGAATCCGTAACGGATATGACGCTAGTGTGTTATGTACTTCAGAGTTTACTTGACCCTTTGCTGATTATGGCCACGGTGTCCGATTTGCGGGTGACGGTTTGTAGTTTGTTCCGATGTGTTGGATATATTCGTACGATGCCGGCAACCGTAAAGTGAAATTCCATCAATGTAAACCCAATGTAAACCATCAAATTAAAAGGGTTTCTTTCTTACACTTTCTACACTATGATTGCATGACTGCAGAGTGCAATACAAACCGCTTATTGTTTAACACTTCCTCTCGAATCAAATATTATTCAGGAATACAGTGATTAAATAATACGAGTATTAAATTTGGATTATGATAGAACTGACTAAATGAGCAAGCAGAATGGCAGTTTATAATTTCCATTTAACTTAGAGGGCTACACATTACAAAACCAGGAATAAAGATATTAATTGATATACTTCTTACACTTCTGACATTGCTGGAGTAATCATGTGCGACAGTGCGAGTATAAAACATCTGCAAAACAAGTATCTGTAAAACGTGGACCTTGACCCATGTGCTCCAGCCCCCTACGTCATTGAACGACCATTTACCTGTACGGCTGCACTGCTTCGGATGACCCTATATTTTAGGTTTTACGCTTATGATTTGTTGCCACTTTGCTCTGTTTCCTGAACCAAGTTGGTACGGGCTAAAGCATGCCTGAGTATGTTCTGACAAGCGAATTTGGGTCACAGAACCTGCATTTAGAGTGTTGAAAGGGAAAGGACGGCATCTTTGTGGCTTCTTCTAATTCAGTTTCTGCATTGGCTTATTTGGCTGCGATTAAGCTGATTCCGCCTTTTCGCAGTTCTTGCTTTTACAGGCAGTCAAAGCCCCATAACAAACATGACAGGTCATTATAAATAGCTGTTTCGCACGATCCACAAAAACTTTTTACACTTTTTTCTCCGTTGTTTCTTGTTTCATGAGTTTGTGTCAAAACGTTTTACACTACCAGTGACCTTTTAATTCCTCAGTAAGCATTCATAATGCAGGTTTTCGTGAAGACCATAACTGGCAAAACTGTTTCGGTGAATGTGGAGCCCTCCGATACGATTCAGGACGTGAAGGCACAACTGGAGGAGAAAGAAGGAATTCCAGCCGATCACCAGCGACTGATTTTTGCAGGTACGCGTACGCAATTTCCGTTTTCCCTTAACTGGCCTTAAATATTATCTTACATAAACAACATATCTAATCTAATATATCAAATTATTTTTGGGTGTAAAAAATTAATATCAGATGCCAAAATTTTTTTCATTTTTCGTGTAAATTCTTTTTTTATTGCTTTTGTTTTGTTGCAGTCAGTTCGAGTTTCTTAATTCAAGTTGAAAGATCACTCATTTCTAATTTTAGAAATACTGCTCATTTGTATGCGCGCGAAGACCGTACAGGTAGATAAGAAGCCAGTATGTGCACTGTGCAGACGTTTTTAGAGGGCTCAGTACTAACTAGGGCTAAGTAAAAATTACGCACTGCTACTGTCAAGTGACCTTTTGTCTCTAATTCAGTCATACACATAATTCATATTCATTCATGTTTATGTGGCTCATAGGTCGACCACTGGTGGATGGACGGGTCAGCGATTACAACATCCAGAAAGAGTCTACGCTGCACATGGTTCTCCGTCTGCGCGGTGGGACGTCTGGCACTGTCCACCTGGACATGGTCAAACTGCAGGATAAGGATGACGTTCCGCTGGATCAGCAGCGCCTGGCCTTCGCTGGCTTCGAGTAACTGAGCACCGTAACCAGCGCACGCATTCTGCTTGACGGAATTTATGTTTCACTAAAAGTTGCTCATTGTGTTCAAATTTCTTTTGCGTTACACACAAACACGTGATTACGATTTTTCCCTTGCAGCATCTTTTCTTAGTTAATACCGCATTTGTATTAAGAACATCGTGTAATGATCACATGTCTTTGAATGCATTTCATCACTGATTAATCCTTGTGGAAGTGCAGTACTTCTTTATGACCGCGTTAGCATAAAGAGCGCTTGAGTTGCAGGAAAATGATTGCTGATTATTAACTCCATTACTGCACTTCGAAGGTGCCATTAATTTTACTGTAACAGACGTTTAGCAAAAAGGAGAAAGTGTAAATACGTTTCAGGCGTATTTCGCCCATGTTTACTTAAAGATTTTAATTTTATCCATAAACAGCAGAATGTTAATCCAAGCGGAACAGCGCTAGGAATCGGATGAATACCCTCAGTTTTGCCTTCCTTATTTACATAGTTTCGATGTGAATAAGTTATACTTCGGCAAATTTCATATTCCGGCTCTCCTTTAAGTTTTAATCAGATAATTTAAAAGTATTAAGACAGTTAATGTTGCAAAAATCCTGCTCACAAAAGTTTTACATTTCCAGTATGCATTTGCCGCTGAAATTTTCTGGAAATATGGGGACCACGGAGGCATTGATATCAGACGCCGACAGGCACCGGAGGCATTGCTATCAATCTACTATTTAGTATTACCTAGTACCTACCTACCACGTACAGATAATCATTCAAACAAAGCGGCTGTTTTCCAGCACGCTTATCAGTCCATTTAAATGCCATTCAAAGTTGCTTAACAGCTGCGCTAACACATCCACGCTGAATAAACATGGTGCGTTTATTTTACCACGGGGCTCTATCTCGACATGCTTTGCACTACGAAAATACGGCACTAAACCGGGAACAATTTCAAAGGATGTTGTGAAAGTTAAGTAGGCTGCAGCTTACCGTTTATACACATGTTTTACCTTCATCAAAAACCCACATTTCGTTACATAAACATAATATTACATATGATATGTACTCGTAGTAATGTTATATATCGGTCAGGGATCGGGATGAACGATACTAATGCAACCAATACTTCATCGGTAACCGATACTTCTCAGCCTTACTCGGGTGTATTGTGGATCGACGCTGTGACCATTGCCATAACTCTCTTGGCATTCCTCCTCAACACCATCGTGGCACTGATCTTTATTTTACACCGTCATCTCCTTACATCCTTCAGCGTGTATTTTCTCGCTCTAACGATCTGCAATGCGGTTTATTGCTTTCCTGTTTTAACTGATTCGGTGTGTTTATACTGGACGGATTTTTGCACGAACACTGTTGTCTGTTCTCTGCACATCTACACGGCCTGGGTGACATCCGGAGTGGCCATTCACCTCAACGTGGCCATCAACGCGGTACGGGTGTGGGCACTGTACGGACCAGCTTCCTATCGACAGTATCATAACTTCAAGACCGCCGTTTACATAATCACCGGAAATGCTGTATATGTCCATGCTATTGGTCTCCCGGGAGTGATTGTCAATACCGTCGTCTATCTGGATGCCGCAGCGTCATGCGGACTCGCCAGAAAAGCGCTGGATGTTTGGGTCAAGGTCGTGCTGATCGTGGTGTATAATGTGCCGGTGTTACTAATGATCTCGGCGTACGTCGCTATAATACTGGGGGAGTTAAAGCGCTTCCGCACCGTTACGCCAGTCGGGAGGACGATTTTAGGTCGGGGGAAATTTCTTATCTTGACCGTTCTAACGGCCAGTGTAGTACTGTGCTGGACGCCGTATAATTTTCTAGATGTTGTCGATACGTTCTATATTGCAACTGTACCGAACGTGGTTACGGATGTTGCACTTGTGCTGTATGTCCTACAAGATTTGCTCGATCCGCTTCTAATTGTCGCAGCACTACCTGATTTGCGCAGTGTCACAACTCGCTGCGGTAGCCGTCATCGAAACACAAAATTCATTATCAGCAAAAGGAAGAATGCAGACTAAAGACAAAATTGAATACATAAGTAGTACTTTAATATAATGCCTCTCTAATGATCATCTGCATTGTTTAAGCTTTACTGTAATAATCACAGAGATTTTTAATTTCTGTACCAAAATCCCTTTTTCCAAGATTTTGTACAATGTACATACTCTTCCATCATCCTACGAAGTCTTAAAAAATCTTACTATCAGTTTCAAACGTCTGAGAAAATTCGCACAACAAATATTAATTTTTATCATTCAGTCCAAGACCAACGAGACTTTCTTGGCAAAGCGCCCCATTAAGGCAACGGGCATTTTGACGTAAGTGCAGCCTTTTCAACGAAGACGTTCAATTGCATCCGGGAGGTTTTATATTTAACAACGCTGGTAGCGTTTGCTTGAAAGTTCAGACCCGGATAAGAAATGCCGTCAGCTATGCTAAGGTTTTTCCTCGCCATAATAACGGATGATTATTTCGCCATAATGAATTTGCTGGTAGAAAAAGGCATAAAATACCGAATTTCCAAACTAATTCCTGCTTCTTTTTCATCTTTCTGGGGCTATTTGTACAAACGGTTGCAGCATCTTCTATGCAATTTTGTAGTAATTAAGATGGAAAATATTACATCGCTACAGTATTTGACTTTCGTTACCCAGTCCGCAGCTGAAGGATATGAATGGAACCTGGTTGATATTCAAGGCAACGACGGACTGCTGCACTGTGGACGGATTACAGATAGTGGAGACGAAGGGTTCCTTGTCGATTTTGGATGTGGGAAGGAGCACGCACCTCAATTTGTTCCATTTGGCAGGATTTATCGGTACAGAAATCGGTCTCTGTTTGACGATATTACGACCATTAGCTGGGATATCACTCGTTCCATTGGTAAGCAATTAATGTTGAATGTCTCCTTGGTTACATTACACAGAATAAAATTATTAAGAATGATCTTTACTATTCAAAAATGACAGCACTTGTTTTCGTATTTAAAACACCTGACCTAGGTTTTTAAGGCAACGCCAGTTCATAGATAACGTTCTCCCACAATTTCCAGATGAGAAGGAAGAGTTTCCCGTGGAGGTGTTACTTCGGTTCCATCCCGCCGAGGCGTGTAAATGGTACCCCGGCACCATGCTACTCGGCGATTTTGCACTTCGATCCTTCGGCTTTGTCCGCATTCCGATCGCCGGAACCGTGATGAAATGCATCGTGCCTGCGCATCGGATTCGGACACCTTCCACGGAAGGCCACTTAACGCCGGCGTTGGTAGTAAAAGGCGACCGCTACCATGCTATGATTGGTCACAGCGCGCGTACCGATGTAAGTTTCAAGAACTCGATGTGCATCTGAAAATCAGGATCTTCCTGTTATTAGCATTTATAACCTCTGCTAAATCCTTAATTTGGTTTAATTTTAGAAAGGAGCGCTTACTGCCCGATGTAAGAAAACCAGGAACAACGGTTTAGTGGAGCAGTTGATCCGGACATCTCAGGAATGGAAATTACCGCTGACGGATGGCTCCTCTGGAGTTCGGTTTGCTAATGGATTAGCTACGCTAAAATGGATGGATTTTGTGCTGCTCTCCGACGACACAACTTATTCTTTGCCACAGGATAGTCAAAAGGATTCCATTCACAATGACTGCACTATCCATTGTCTGTCTACGGAAGTTTTACTGGAAATGTTTTGCTTCGTGACCAGCATCGAGAAGTGCAAACTTCGCCGGGTGTGTATTACATGGAAAAATATCCTGACATCACCCGCCGCTGCTTATTTGGTCTTATTGCGAAATGGCCCGTATCCATCGGCCTACGCTTACATCCAAGAAGGCGATTATCTCCATGCTGCCTGTTTATTCAATTGCTGGAACAAGGTCGTCGTGATTGATGGCTGCAAATCCATGAAAGTCTGGAAGGACCAGATGCCTTCGTGTCACGGTGGCTTCCTCCAGCGCATTATTAGCGAAGGCGGCTATCATCCGGCCGAGACGTTAATTCTAACAAATGTTTTTCGGATGATGTATGCTAAGAAGCGCGGTGAAAATTCAGCGGCAGATTTTATTGTGGAACTGACCGAGGAGATAAATTCGTACATGAGGGTTTGTCAGCAGCTGGTATTACGGAATATTACGATGGTCCTATTCGGTGGCTTCCTTGGGGATATTATTGTCAAGATTCGAGCCGGGCGAATTAGCCGTGATCAGCGCAAGACGGTGCCGGATTGGTGGACAGTATTGGATAATTGCTGTCCTTCGCTTAACGAATGTGATCTTTCCTCATTGGCTACTTGGATTCGGGATGCCCATTACCGTGCCGCTAATAAGGAGAATTTGGAACCTTCGTTACACTCTAAAGTCTTATCGGTAAGTGCCGGATTTTCATCGGAGTTGAGGATTAGTAAGCACATCAAATTAATATTATATATTTTGTAGTGATGGCTTTAATCGCACTACGTTATTATTTTTAGGTACTACACAATCTACAGAGCGCTGATCCACGCGCTAGCGTACATTACCGAGGTGAGCGATGGTCGATGGAAAGTCTAATTAACCTGGATGTTCGGAAACTGAAGACATTTACCTGTTATACATTGCGCAGTATTCAGCGCAATCATGCTATGGCGCCAGTTCCACTCGGCGTTAATTTATCGTGGTGAATTGCTTCTGGAGGTCGATTAGGGCAAGTACTTGCAGATGGCGGTCGGCTGAAGTATGGAGTATCGTTTCACAGAATCTTTTCTACGGCGTCTGATTTAACAATGAACGCTCTGCCATGTATGTAATTTGAGCATTTTTTCTATGCACAGACCAAAATTATATGTGAAACCTTTATTGCCTCATTCGTTCGTTTCTTAGTATCTGTATTGAAGTGTGGACCTGCTTTTGAAAATTTGCTGTTTCGAAGCCCGCAGTGTAAATTCTTCAGTTAACTTATTTTATCTGCGGTTGTGATATGTTTTTTGAGCTTACTAGCTGTAGGAAGTGAGTAAAAACCAAGCGCGATAGTCCGGAAAAAACCGGCAATCGAAAATCGATCTGAATGACAAGTACTTAGTTGCAGTAGTCTCGTTCACTGTATTCCATAATGTTTAACGAATAACAGGTGGGTCAACCTAAACCTCACTTTCTTGTTAATAACTTTGTCAAACTCTTGATCAGTTTCAAATAGTCAGTGAAAGTATGATACCATAAGCACCAATATATATTCATGACTACCGCAGAGAAAGCGTTGTTTGATCATCCGTCTGGCTTATCTAATCCACAGCAAAAGTAAAAACAAGAAGGCGGGCTTTCAGGTAGCCCAACAGGGAGCGAACGTTGCTCCGGCCTGCTGCTTCTTAATTTGCACATAAAATAAGTATCATGCGGGAATGAAACGCCTGCACGTGCCACGTACTATCCCCTAAATACAGTTACAAAAACAGCGTTTATCGCGAAAAGCGCTGCATTAGTTAATCCGTAATTTAATTGCTGACGACTGTATCTAAAACTTTAATCAGAGTTATCAGACCGTCTACGCGGTTATTTCCGCCAAAACTACCGTTTGCCGCGCGTCAGGAAGAACTGAAATACCGGCTGGTGGTACTTTATAAGTTGTTATGCTTTAACAATCATTGATTTATAACCCGATTTCACTTGTTAAAATGGCTAGCAAAAATTCCGACTTCCGGATTAAAGCTCTGCGGTACTCCAGCTTACTATGGTTGCTGACCATTCATGCGTGCGGATATTTCACCGCTCTGCCAAGAAAATGCCGCATCCAGCTCATAGTTTTCATGGGCGTCTACGTTACCCTGCAGTTCGCGGCAAATCTCTTGGCGGCGCGGCTGTTCTGGGTGCCTCCATCAAGTGTATCGGGAATACTGCTAAATATTCCCAATAAACTGTTGCCTTTCACCCGTGCCTGCTCCGCCGTTACACTGCTGTGGGGCCAACGGAATGTCTGTGGATTAATGAGCGCATTTGTCTTCAACTATAAGAAATACTTGTCACCTGTGAAAGTAACCTTTTTTCTCATGGTCAGTTGTATGTTGGCCTCGAACGCCTTTTTCTATGCAACAATCACGATTATGGAGATATCGTCATCACAAGAGACGATTGTTAACCGTTTTCTACAGCTATTCGCTAACCTTGCTCAGAACTCTCGATGGGCTACAGTGATCTTGATTCTTCAGTCAATTTTTGGTATAGCGTCTTTCATCGGTTTCAAAAACATCCAGTGCTTTGTGGTTTTGTGGCCGTTACTGATCGGTATGGTTTTGGAATCTCTTAATAAAGAAATCCGCGAAATCGACACGGTGAGCACGATTGAGCAGGCGCGCTGCCTTCAGGAACATGCCGAAATCGTCACCGTGATAAGGCAGTTGAATAAATGCTTTTCATGGATTCAACCGATTCTTCTGTTTGAAGATGCGTTTGCCTTCATCGGTATGGCGCAAATAATCTGTATAAACGTTATCACGAGTGATAGAATGAGCGCACAATCTATCGTCGATGTGTGCTTAACAGCCACTATGATAAGCGCACAAATCAGTTCTGCTGTCTTTTTATACGAAAAGGTACGGTAAAAACTCATTTAATTTCATTGTTCGGTAGTGCAATGCTGTGATTATTCATAGAATGCCGAATTTCTTCAAGGATTAAGAAATTCAGCTCTCGAGCACCGCGAAACCAAGGATGACTTGCAATCGATGCATGTGTATGCAAAACGTTATAAAGGCACACATTTGGGAGTCGAGATTGCTGGGATAGTGATAACCCGGGAAATCGCTTACGGGGTGAATATTGCCGACAAAATTAGCAGTGCCGCTGCCATAATACAAAATGAAACAAAATTATAGGGAATACCTCGCTTGTACCTTTTTGCGCTTTGTATACCTTAAGGTTCACAGCTCTATTCAGTTTGTTATCCACGGAGATTTCTTTTTATAAATGAATTGCTTGTTTTGCAGATTGCTCTCAGCATATTTGGTTACATTCTTTTAGCCGCGCAAGTTATCGACAACGAGCGAGATACGTCAAAAACCCGTTCGACCAGCGATCTTCTTCATGCGACGTTTACTACTCTTTGCAATCACAGCACCATTTCATCTATGACCCATTTTATGCATGCAAGATTCACTAATTTTTCAGTGCCATGAATATTCGCCTCCGAAAAAGAAATACTTTTAATTTCCTCAATAAACTTCATGAGTTGCTTGCCGGAGTAACACAATGGACTGACTGTTGTACTTGTTACCACTATAGTCTATATGTACTGTACAGTAAGTGCAATTCTGCTAGCAAGGCGACCATTTTGCAAAATAAAAGTCACGCATGGTTGTCGTTAGTGCTGACGAAGACAGTACTGTAGTTTGGTTAATCTACTTTGTTTTGGATAGAAAGGAAACATATGCAACCTGTACATGATCTAACATTTTATACGAGTACAGTAGTACCATCCAACACAATCAAAGCTCAAATCAATCATTCCGGACCGTTAAATAATGTCGTCGATTTCGACTCTGAAATTAATGTTGAAAGTCCGTCTTCATTACAAACATGCTCTGCTCTCCGCCGCTTGGCTGTGACGATTCCTAATCCCATGCTGCCTACCATTTAATCGATAGTGACCTTGAAATTCCGAAAATAGCGGCAGTATGGTAGCTGGAATATAGCCGCGGGCTTGCAAAAATATTACTTACTGTTTAATGAGCGGCAAGGCACAGATCCCATTTTACTCTTATTTTCTTAGCATGGCTTCCGCAAATTATCGTGACCTTGCTCAGGATGTGCATTGCAAATACTATCTTGCTGAGCTTGCGTTGCTGGTGATTAAATCATGAATGCGTGTGCATCGAGTCAGATCATTTCTTGATCCACAAGAGTAAATTGTGCATCCCACGGATACAGTTATCACAGATTCATAACCGGGATAAATTATTATCATAGTTGGTGGTTAGCGAAAATTAAGAACTGTTTTTAAGTTTCACGGTGCAGATCTGCATTTACTCCCTTCGCGAAAATCACGTACCAATATTTTTGACAAGCTAAAAGTTGTAGATTATCGCGTAGGACGATTATGGCATTCCTCGCTGCACGTATGGGCGTTAAAGCCTTGCAGTTCTTCGTTGCTCTCTGGCTCATAACCATTCACGCATGCGGCTACCTTACCGTTTCCCCACAGAAGTACCGCAAGCGTCTCACGCTCCTTATGAGCGTCTATATCGGACTGCAGTTTACCTCACACGCAAGCCTATTGCGGCTGTTCTGGAAGCCCCAACCCACCGTACCGGCACTGTTAATGGCGATCCCGGGCCAACTGTTACCCATCATTCGAGCATTTTGCGCTCTGACCTTACTCTGGCGTCACCGCAATCTATATGGATTAATGACAGCGTTTGTATGGCATTTTAAGAAGTACTTAACACCGCGGGATGTGGCCGTTATTTTACTAACCGGTTGTTTGTTGGCAGTTAATGCTTTCTTCTACTTTATTACCAGCATAAAGGAGCTGGTGTTCGTTCGGGAAATTTTCCTTACTGCTTTCCTAAATCGGTTTCCCAATCAGTCTCTCAGTGAGGCGAAAGCAGATATTCTCCTTGTGATCCAGCTTTTATTTCATTTAAGCTCCTATATCGGATTTAAAAATACCCAGTGCTTTCTGGTTCTTTGGCCGTTGATGCTGGGTATGGTGCTGTGTTCCCTAACCAACGAAATTAAGCACACACGCATCACCCGCTGCGTCGAGAAATTACGATGTCTCCAGGATCATTCGGAATTATTGGCTATGATTCGGCATCTCAACAAATGTTTTTCCTGGATTGCAGCGTTTCTACTGTTTGACGATTTGTTCTCCTTTAGCGTTATGGTCCAGATAGTCTGTCTTAATGTTGTCACTGGCGATACTATGAGCGCGAGCTCTATCGTGGATTTCTTCTTAACTGCCACAATGATTGCCGCCCAACTGGCTTCTGCACTGTTTCTACTCGAAAAGGTACACAATTCAATAAAACCAACCCAATTCGTAGCTACCTTACATTCAGAAAAAGAAACGACTTAAATGCAATCAGTAGGAGATGAAATTTCCTCATTGCAAAATAACCGAAACAGATCGGAATACCCACCATTTTTGTAGAACACTGAATTTCTCCGGACTCTACGTAGATTTGTCTCCATTCAGACAGAATCTAAAGATGACTTCCAGCCATTGGTATCATATGTAAAATGCTGCAAGGGAGAGCAGTTGGGAGTTGAAATATTTGGCATCGTGATAACGCGGGAACATGCCTGTACAGTAAGTATTTGTAGTTTATTGCTGGAAACAGCAAACCTGGCCCAATCTGAACAAAGATAAGCTTAAAAGCTTTAGCGAATACTTTGCTTTAGTTTTATTGGTACCAGAACAGATAAACTCATTGGTGAAAACAGAAATAATCCGTTAAATGAAATTTTTGTCATTGTTAGATTGTCTTCAGTGTACTTGGATACATTCTCTTGGCTGCGCAAATCGGCGACGAAGAGCGTAACATGGCAAAAAATTTTCTAAAGGATGAATTTGTTCGAACAGTCCTTTTTGCACCTTACAACCGTAGCTGTGCCACGTCTGGGATGCATTCAAATTACACAAAGTCGACCACCTTTTAAATGCCACAGCATGGGCGTTAGCTTTAATTATATAAGGAAGAGGATTTGTTTTTCTGCTCGGCTTCCCTTAACATTCCCTTGACATTTAAGCGCAGCATTTGGTCGGATGAAAAAGCTGAAAAGTCATTTCAAAGTCGTTTTTTTATGAATGAGAATTCCTATTTGCTTACGCATGAATGAGATCTAGAACTCTTATTACATATCCTCTTATTACGTATTATGCTTACGTATACTTATAACACGTTATCACGCACCTGTCGTTGCGTGCCGCATAAACATAAAATATTTTGTGTGTAAGTTCGCCATAATCTTTACATAGCTTGTACATGTTAATAGCAATCTGTACATAACCTGTGCATAATCTGCTGAAAATTAAAACTTTGCGGAAATACAGTAAATCTGAATTCTGAACTATCGTCAGTGATCATACGGGATTGCCAATATTCGAGACATTTGCGTGGTCACCCCGTGGGTGACAAATAAATCTATTTAATTGCATGACGCCGGCAGCCAGATTCCTGTTTTCATGATCCGTGCGATCAATTATAAAGGTCATATAGCCGGATATGCACACCATGAGCTGCAGAAAAACAACAACAAAACGTACGTAGTTCCGGTAAATGGAAAATTTAAACCTAGTTGCAAATAATGGTCAGAATTCTGTCTAGAGCTTTGCTAACCTGTAAAACAACTCGTTTATTGATGGAAATGAGCCCACCAATAGTGAATCCAAAGGAGCGGCTAGATGTCGTAAGCGTATGGACTATCGGGATAATATCGTTTGCATCCTCCAGTTTACCAACGTCAAGCTGTATAAAAATGCATCTTGTAACCAAATATTAAGGAAGAAAGTGTTTTAGAATTGAAATTGTACGTGTTTGTTACTGGTGCTGGGACGGCTGATCACAAGAAAAAACGCGATCTGATCCATCTTCTTCAAAATAATTTCATGCTGCAATAACATTGACATGACTACCCGGGTAGCAATAAATAAAATTTCATTTATGCAGAGTGACATAGTACTATGTATTACATTATAAATAAAGAGTCTCTGTAACCGTAAATGGTCTGCACGTGGTAGTAAATATCAATAGGTGCACTCAGAAGAACGTATAATTCCCAAAGGACTATTACGATTGTCCACGCTCCTCTGACGATCCAGTGGATATTTCCATTACCGAATCTGGCACTTTCCTCTTTGGTATAAGCGAAGATGGTGAACCACTGCGATATAGCTGCCAACAATTCCAGGATGCTACCAATGACATGAAGAGATAAGATGGCGGTAAATGCACAGCGACTGGAATGCAGTTCTCTCGTGAACAACAAATATGTACGGCAGAACATTTGCATTTCCGTATCAGGGACGATTGTACCGCGAGGGCGTGCGATATCGCGGCGAAATTTGTAGTTATTCAGAACAAGGTTGGAAACACGTCTGGAAAGTCGTAATGCTTTGATGAATGTAAGATGTGCACAGAGAACAAAAATAAAATCCAGACAGTAGATCAATACGGCCCCAATAAAACGAATAAAAGCGTAAACTGTTTGGATTATAACCGCCTTTAAATGAACACTGGTCATTGTGTGTTTGGCGGGTGTGGCGAACATGTAGTAAATTCCCATTTCACATGCAAAGCGACAACAGCAAAACAACACAAGAGGCACCCATTTGCAAAATGTGTGGGCTACGCATCTTGCAAACGAAGCACTACTTTCACTTGCAAAATGATCGATAAGGAAAGAACGGAGGAAATTAAAATTGCATACGATAAGAATGGATGACAACGAAAGTCGTCCTAATATGGTTTGCGACTGGATGAAGGCGATCAGCTGTACGAACGGACTGGAGTCGTGAATACCGCCGGATGCCGTATATGACAGGAGATCGCTAAGGTCATAAGCAAAAAATATCGTTAGGGTGGCGCTGAACACGGTCAGCACTATTCTAAGCTTGAGATTACGCATACTGCGAAATAAAACGGCCGGGAAAGCGTATCTTCTAAGCAAAAATAACTTGTTCCGGTCTAGTTCAGGAGACCAGTTCCATTAGCGCGGAAAGTTAGAAACATTTTCATCTACCAGTTTTTATATTCATCTAAAATAATTGTGGTTTATTTAAAAATGATGTGTCAATATTTTGTCGCAAAGCGGTGTACTGATCGGAAATAGCCGTGCAAAACTACTTGAGCACTTTGGGACACCCCTCCGCGGAAAAGTTTTGTTTGTAATCCTCAGGTTTCATGCGTCGTTTAATTTTTTCACAGGCACTATAGAGTATAGATCAATAATGAAGCACAACGTCAGTATTAAACCGGTAGTTTAGGTTCTTTAATAGCGGCAGATATAATGTATACTGCAGGTAGGCTCAGGTACATAAGAACCATTTTCAGGTGGAATTGTCGAGAAGAATAGAGGTTTAGCCGACGTTAGCGATGTGTTTCGCTCGCACGGATGAGCAAAAATCTCTTGCCTTTAATCAATAAATTAGTATAAAAGAGACTTTTCAAGCGATCAAGGCTACATCACAGTGCAGAATTTACTTTAAAATTTTGTTGTTGTCACGCCCAATGACCATAACAGATGAACATATTTTTTAAGCTTATCCCACTGTTCCTCTGTCATCTTGCAAAATTTGAAATTTTGTC